GATCAAGATCTGGCGGATGAGTCCAGGCGGCGAAGGATACGATACCGTCGCTGTCGGCAGTTCCGCGGTCGGGGACGAAGTCCAACACGAAGACACCGGACTTCAGGAGGGCACGACCGATGAAGAGACCGCCCTTCCCGTGGTAAAGTCGGAACTCGTTGGAGAAGGAGTCGCACTCCAGGTGAATCCCCTTAGCCATTAGTTGGCTTACGCTTAATAGGTTGTATCCCAGATTGTCGACGATGAGGACCTTGTTGAGCTGAAGAATAACGTTTGTCTCCATTGATTGTAACTGAACCACGCCTTGTCTATTTGTTTTCAGGTTTTCGTTGTTGGCGACGGTGATGACGACGTCACGGTTGAGGCGTCGCTCGTGTTGTACGAAGCGTCCGGAGGAGCACATGTGCTGACCGCAGCAACTGTCCAAGAACCAGGTGTTTCGCCCGGTGGGTTCGGCGTTAGCGACTGCAGCGTATGTCGGGTTGACCTGAAGTCCTTGCGAGCGCGGCGGCGGGAATTCCTCTTCGTCTGGTGCGTAAGTGGGTGGTGAAGCGGGTGCGCAGTTGTCGATGTGTACCATGCAGTTGATGATGTTGGGTGTTTGTTGTGCAGATGTTGAAGAGCGCCTTGGAGGACTTGCTTGAGTGGAAGCGACTTGTGGGTCTGCTGCACGGTAAACGCGAGGGCGGTTGCAGTTGACCTTGGAGTGCCCGGAAGTCTGACAGTTGTGGCAGAACGGCGGCACGATGGTGAGTCCTCGGTTGTCACGTTGATCTTGCTTGCTGCGTCGGTTGTAGTTGTTGTCATTTCTTCTTTGAGTGTAGAAGACTAACTGCTGTTGCTTCCTTGGTTGTCTTTCCTCGAACAGATCCATCTCCTGTTGTTCAGCGTGAAGCTCGGCGCAGAGGTGCATCTCCGAAATTCTTCCGTGGGCTCGAAGAAGTGATCGTGTGGTTCTCCATTCTGGCCCGAGCCCGGCGAGGACAAGTGTCACGAAGCTTTCTTCAGTGATCGTTCCTCCGCACCGAAGCAGGCGGTCGCGGAGGGTCTGGCAGCGACTCATATACTGCATCGCCTTTTCCCCGGTCTTCATCTGTATTGTTGTCAGCTGTTGCATGAGTCTGCTTTGTGTCACGCTGTCGTTTGCTTGGTAAAGGCATTTGAGGTGGTGCCATGCGAGCTCCGCGGAGTTTCCATAACTCCGATACGTTCTGATGCTCTGCTGCTCTTGTGGTGACAGGTTTCTCAGGAGTACCGTGTACGCCAGCAGCGACTGATACGTGAAGATCTCTTGTTCCTTCCCAGTGCCGTTGCTTGGGAATGGCAGGGACCCGTTGAAGTATCCCAGAAGATGCGCGGCCTCCATCAGCAGCTCGAACTCGAAGCTCCAGGTAAAGAAGTCGTGTCCGTTGAACGGTGAGGATGTCTGAAGTTTGATCACGTGTGAGAACTGCGCCTGTAAACTTAAGATTTCATTCGGTGTTTGTTGTGAAGCAGCTGCTGTTGGCTGGGCACGGGGCGGCATGAATTCGAACGTCCCCGGCGAAGAATGATAAGGCGCAAAGGTAGGCGCTTGATTGTGTCGCCCGAAGGATGAGTTGTCGAGGCTCATCGGCGCTAATCCCATATTCCCTCCATTGCTCTGTGTTGAGTGCGCAGGTGTCCTTGTCTGCTGCTGCTGATCGAAGTGTGACATGAAGCTGAAGAATCTCTCCATGAGATTCGGGTCCACACTTGAAGAGGGAGACGGGGTCACCATCTCTGGTGTTCTTCCCGTTGTTTCTTGAGCAGTCCCGGTCTCTGTCTGCAGTCCTGAGGTGTGCAGACCAGAGTTGCCGTGTTGAGTTTCTTGGGCGCTGGGTGAGCCCGTAGAGACTTTCTTGCCCTTGTTGTCCATGTCTTGTAATCAATGAAGTCGTTGAATTGAGTTGAGTTGCAGGTTGTTGATAGGACGTAGTTGCTGGGAGTTTGGTCTCTGACCAGCTCTCATACCATGTTGGGCTGAAAAAAAACCCTTTAGGATCTTTTGCAGAGACTAAGTCCCAGTTGCAAAGACTTGAGACTTGGAGTAGTGCAGCGGAAGTTGAGGCAGTTGAACCCTTGTACTAGTATGTGAGAACAAGTGATTGATTAAAGAAACAAGCATACAGCAATATACAGTGGCGGATTAAATTGTCCACATGTTTTGCCTTTTTTGGCATTTTTATGAGTGCAGAGGCGTATACATTAAGCCTTAATGTAAGGTGTGCATTAACGCTGAGAAGTTCAGTTAGAGCAGTCACTCCAGTGTTCAAACACCAAAGTAGTACCACACATGGTCCTTAAACTCCTAAGCATAGCATGGGAGAACATGTGGACAATTTGTACCGGAAAATGGTATCACACTAGATTCTAGGAAAACTAGTACCTAGTCCAGCGTCCCTTTGCCCGAATCACTGCCTTGATCCTCCTCGGCAGGCTGTCGATCAGGTTTGCACACACCTCCGGCGGTATCTTGTCCCATTCCTCCTGCACCCTCTCCCACAGCTCCAGCATTCCCCTTGGCGGCTTTTCGTACTTCCCCAGCTGCCTTTTCAAGTATGCCCACAGGTGCTCAATTGGGTTAAGGTCCGGGGAGCACGACGGCCATTCCAGCACCGCGTACTCCTGCTCCCCAAGCCAGTCTTGGACCAGACGACACCTGTGCTTGGGATCATTGTCGTGCTGGAAAATGACCTCTGAGGGGGAAAGCTTGAAAAAATCGATGGTCTGTTTGAGCTCATCTTGCAAGATGCTGCGATACAGCGGCCCATCCATCCTGCCATCTATCTTGCACATGAACCCCGCCCCCTCATACGTCATGCAACCCCACACCATCACAGAACCGCCCCCATGCTTAACTGTCTGTTGGACTTGGTGGCTCCGAAGGCTGGTGCCCTCGCGAATCCAGGCGTACGCACGTCCGTCGGAGCAGTAGCGGTTAATCTTCGTCTCGTCAGACCAAATCACCCGCTTCCAGTCCTCCAGCGTCCAGTCGGCATGCGCCCGCGCGAAGTCGAGACGATCGCGGATGTTTTTCGGTGAGAGCCTGGGTTTCTTGGGCTGATGCACGGCGATCAGCCCCGCGGATCGTAAAGAGTTGCGGACCGTCTTCGAGTCTACGGCGAGATCGTGCTTCTCCAACAACATCTTGGCCGCGTCTGAAGAGCTTTTCGCCTCGCCGCTAGTAATCGCACGTATAACTCCGCGCTGGAGACGGGTTGTGATTAAGCGGGGGCGGCCGGCCGAAGGCATCGTAGGTCGCACCTCCTCGCGACTAGTCTCCTCAGCGAGTTTCATACCGTAATCGTGCACGGTGCTCTTGCCTATGCCAAGAAGTTTCCCTATTTTCCTAGTCGAATGCCCCGCACGCAACATGCTTCTGATCCTCGCGCGCTTCTTCTCATTTAACGGCTTCATAGCGATGCGGTCGTAGGCTCGCTTCCGGACTAACAACTAAGCTAGGAACTGGTGCGCGTGACGATGTACACACTGAGCGACGGGGGAAAATAGATCTACTCTTCCGCTCGGTAGGAAATGTCCACATCGACAGTCGAGTAGTAAATTTCAACCCCACTTTCCGTTAGTGTCACAATCGCGCCAAGCAAGAAACGGATGAAGCAGAACTCAAAAACCGAGTAACAGAATGGAAAAAAACGGGTGTTACTATTTTCGAAACATGTGTTGCATAACGATACGTTTCAAAGTGTTAAACATCCGGGCAATTTAATCCGCCACTGTATAGTAGATAAGAAAGCAGTTGTAGAATACAGTTACAGGAACGGTTTATCGAGTCGCACAGCGACTCGATTGCCGCTTCGGTTACCATCCGTGATGTTGTAACGGTCAGTCGCAACCTCCAGTTGCGACCTTTCGAGTCCTTTCGCATTCTTTGTCCGCCCCCTCGTGTAACCTCCGTTGACTCGCGTGCTCCCCTGTAATCTTCCTCGAGTACAGTGTTACACTTCAGAAACGCTTAAGTCCTTGAGATATTTCCAACAAATATTATGGGGCGATGTTTTATAAACCGCACTTGGTGGTGCTACTTCCTATGAACACTCATTATCTTGATTCTCATATTTTACTTGTTCTCACTATGCAATATAAATTTATGGAACACACCAGTGGCTAAATTTATTTAATAAATAAGCTACTATTCTAGAGATAATGAGCAGGTTGGAATATAGTTAAATGAGGGAATATGTTTAGGAATGCTGATTATTCGATACAATGTTGTTATACACACATGATGTTCTGTTGTAGCACCGTTATTATAGATGGTGACGAAACCGCCAACAGGGGGGTGCATTTTTCCTCGGAACCGACACCAGTTGTGGTCGCAGATAGGTCCATGGCTGGCGAACAGCGTTGCGGTACTCAAACAGCCACTGATTCAACTCGTGGAGTATGCCCAGCATCCGCGAAAACACCTGCGTTTCGTCTCCTACAACCTGGAGGTGGCTAGGGCAACAAGGGGAGTGGTGGGGCTGGGAATTCAGGGGATCTACGCTGCGGAGAATGTGAACAGCGGAACCGGCGGCGCCTGAGCCGAAGAATCTGGATGAGCCTGGTGTGGATGCGCGGTGGCGCGAGTCTCCCCACCCCGCCGACTGCGCCGAAGTTATGCCTGCGCCTCCAACAGCCAAGGTCGCTTGTTTTCCAGGGCGTTTTGGGGAACAGCAGCTGTCTCTCTGGGCTGGACCACACGACAGGGCAGGGTGCAGCGGGTTGAGGCACAGGGGATTCTACATCTGCAGAGTGGCTCTCCAGGTTGGGTTGGATACGGTTCCCTTGCGGCAGGCAGGGCGCAGCAGACGCCATAGTGCGCCGCAAAGGAGCTCCACTTCCCTTCGCTGCTGCGGTTGGTTTGAGGGCTGGGCATTGGGCAACGACTGCTGCTGCGATCCGTGTGGCGCCTGCCTACCGACACGGAGTCAGCAGCATCGGATCCAAAGAAGGCGTGAGCCTACGCATCTCCCTTCGCTTCACTACTGTATCACATCCCCCCCACTGCCTACAGTACGTGCCCTTGCCCCTTCCACCTGAGCCCCATCATTGCGCCGCACACCATCTCCCCTCCGCTCCTCAGGCGCAGTGTGCGGTGGGCTCAGTCTCCGTTGACTCGAGTCACCCAGGGCTCGGCTGTACGACGTCACACCCCACTATGGACTATCGCGACGATAGTTGGTCGTACCGAGAGTAGATCCTCTTACGATGCGTAGGTGCTTCTCCGACTAGCGGCCAGCGTCCCGAGTCGGGTGCTATAGTATAGCGAGCCGCGGGTGGAAGCGCCAGTGGAACCAGCGACTTTGGACTAGAGGCTAAGCGCTCCCAACTAGCAGCTAGCAACTTTCGACCAACGATTACGCAGGCGGCAGAGCAGTAATTGGCTCAGCAAAGGCACACGCACAAAGGGATAGGCTGCGACACTTCTCGGAATGATACAGCCACGTGGCGCCCACGTGTCGTGCGATAGAGCGCAGAGCAGCGGTCATCATTCCTCTGCAGGGGCAACGAGCGAAAGGGACGGCATGGGGGCGGCAGGGCCGGCTGAAACTCGAAGCAGCGACTGTAGCAGTTTTAACGGCGGTACAGGCAACGGCTGCATCGGGAACGTAGAGCGTGGCGCACGTAGTCGTACGCGCGCTCACGGTAGCCACCACGAGAACCCGCGCAATCGACACAGTTGTCGATCACACCAGTTTAGAAGTCGGTTAGCGGAGCCGTGCAGACCGCCTGGCACTAGCATCGAGTCGCGGCAACTTACCAGATTAGGCGGCGAGGGAATGGCGCGGCGATGCGTGCGGCAGGTGCGGGTGGAGCGGCAGGTGCGGGTGCTGCACCCCGTGCTGCTGCTGCTCGCGCTGCTCTCGTGCCGCCACTCGCCGCTCCTAGAACCCACGTCAGGCCCGCCAGAAACAGGGCTGCAGAGTCCGCTGCAGCACGGCCGCCGTCCCGCGCTGCTGCTCGTGGGCGCAACTCGCGCCTTCTTCCCCTTCTTCACCGCCTTTTCCCAGGTTCGCCTCGCGAAGCCAGATTAGCCAATTGAGGCCGAATTCCACTTTGAAATCCAGGTTCGCAGCCACGTTGTAGCGCGGGGTTTCGACACGCGCAGAGCAGGGAGGTGTGGCGCGGATGCGATCGAGCCTCGTTGTCCGCGTTACGAGGAGGCGCTGTCCGTCAGACGCGCGACTCGTGCTCGCACGGCGTCACAGGCGTCTCGAAACGAGGGGTTCTCGTCGACCCCATTCCCGCGTCTGCTCCTCTCCGCCGCCCTCGCGCCGACCAAAAGCGCTTCCTTCCGCGCCCCACTCGCGCCCCACTCGCGCCCCAATCACCCCTCTCCACCGCCCTCCCGCCTCCTCGACTCCCGCCATTCCCGCCTCCCCCCCTCTTCCCCATTCCCCTTCGCCCCGGTTCCCCGTTCCCCGTTCCCCCGTCCCCACTCCCTCTTCCGTCCGCTCTCCCCCCTCTGTCGCTCTCTCGTATCATGCCCCCCCTTCCCCCGTTCTCTCCCGCCCTTGCTGTCCCCCAACGATGTCCACCCCCGCCGTCATCGCGTCTCCCCGCATTCAGTGCGAGTCCCTTGGACTTGTTTCAACCTTCTCTTCCCCCCTCCTCCCTTCCCCTCTTCTCCTCCCTCCCCCCCTCTCCCGCTCGCCCTGCGACAGTCTTCCGAGTCGAGCGACTCGTCGGCGTTGCTGGCGACAAGCAGCAAGGACTCTGCGACGAATGTGACGAGTGCTGGCGACAGCAAAGGCAGTAGCAGCAGCAAAGACAGCAGCAGCGGCGGCAACAACAGCAGCAGCAGCAGTAGCAGCAGCAAAGACAGCAGCAGCAGCAGCAGCAGCAAAGACAGCAGCGGCAGCGGCAGCGCAACGAGCGGCGGCGAGAAGGGCAACACATCGACAACGGGCGACAGCAAGAAGTCGAATTCCACGGCTGGGGGAAACTCCGGAGACGCGGGGAAGTCGAACAACAGCTCGTCGTCAGGCAGTGACACGTCATCCTCCGGCAGTGACAAGTCGTCGTCACGCAATGGCACGTCATCGTCAGGCAGTGACAAGTCGTCGTCGGGCAATGACACGTCATCGTCAGGCAGTGGCAAGTCGTCAGGCAATGACACGTCATCGTCAGGCAGTGACAAGTCGTCGTCAGGCAATGACACGTCATCGTCAGGCAGTGGCAAGTCGTCAGGCAATGACACGTCATCGTCCAGCAGTGACAAGCCGTCGTCCGGCAGTGACACGTCATCATCAGGCAGTGACACGTCGTCGAATTCAACCGAGCCATCCACTGACAGCAGCGGCGGCGGAAGTGGGACGGGCGGAGGGGGGCAGTCGGTGGAAGATTGGCGCGCGCCGTGGGCGAAGGGCGGAGTGGCGGAGGCGGAGACGATACACCTGGTGCTGACGCGCGGAGGACCTGCGAAGCACGCGGAGGTAAGCCGCGCAGAGTGGTGGGGTTGAGCGGGGGAAGGGGGCCACACGCCGTGTGCTGGATTGCGGTGTTGCGGTGTTACGCCCTTGGCTCCCCTGGTGCCGGCCCCCAGCATTCACGGGTGTGTCGCCTCTCACTCTTCCTCCCCCCACGTCCCTCCCCTTCCCTTCTCTCTACCCGCCCGCCAGCCGTCTTCCGCACCCACGGACGCAGCGGCGCTGGCGGCGGGTCTGCCGCGAGAGGCACAAGTGGAGCCCCCTACTCCCCCTCAATCTCCCCCTCTCCTCCCCCATCCTCTCCCCACCCTCCCCCCCCCCGTCTGTTCCCGCGCGCCCGCCAGCCGTCTTCCGCGGCGGCGGACACAGCGGCGGTGGCGGCGGGACTGCCGGAGCTGCCGCGCGTGGGGCTGAAGAACGAGGTGCGCTACGAGTACGGCGGCGACCGCGACACCGCCTCGCTGCGGGTGAGTGAAGCGCGCATTCGTGGCCAGCGAGCGTGGTGCCAGCGACCGTGAGAGATCTTTTAAAATCCTCAAGAATCTCTCGCTAGCAGCGAGCGTGGCGCTGATCCACCCACCGTTCTGCGCCTCGCCGCCCTTCATCGTCCTTTCATCGTCCTTTCATCGTCCTTTGATCGTCCTTTGATCGTCCTTTCATCGTCCGCGCCACGTGTTCCCTCTCGTCTGCGCTCCACCCCGCCGCCGCTGCTCTCAGCCACCACGCGTTCAAAGCCCGCGACGAGCTCGCACTCACAAGGTCTCTTCTCGTTCCTCCTCCCCCCCACCCCCTCCCCCTCCCACCCTCCATCCCCCCCCTCCTTCCCCACCCTCCCACCCCCAGACGACCATGTACACGACAGCAGCGGTGGCCCGCACCGCCGCTGTGAGCGACGAGTTCAAAGCCACCCTGTCGCGCGCTGAAGTTACCATCTCCGCGGCCCGACCTGATGCGCAGAGGTGCGCGGTGAGGACGTGACCGGCTGCGCGGGGGGGGGAGAAGCGGAAGGGGTGTGACTGGGGGGGAGAGGGGTAGAGGGGGCGGGGGGGGGGGGGAGGGAATGGAATTCAGCGGGAGGAGGGTGGCTGGGATGGGATGGAGGGGTAGGGTGGTGGGTGGTTGTGGGAGAGGAGTGATGGGATGGTTGGGGTGGATAGAGGGAGGTGGAGAGCGATGAGGACAGAGAGGAAAAGAGATGGGCAAGTGACAAGCGCTTGCTCTGCCTCCGCTCACCTTGTTTCTCCTGTGCGCCCCTCCCCACCCACCAGCGCCGACCACACAGCGTAAAGCAGCGGCTCCTCGCAGCACTCAACACTTGGAGGGCGTCACACGTTCACCTCTCTCTCCCCCACACCCCTCTCTCTCCCCCACACCCCTCTCTCTCCCCCCTGCCTCCCACCAGTTGGTACCACACGGCAGTGAGCATGGGGTCATCGCAGCAGTCGTTCAACGTGCTGGTGGACACGACCACCGACCTGCTGTGGGTGCCGTGCGACTGCGTGCAGTGCGCTGACAAGTCCTCCTCCGCATCCCGCACTGTGAGCCCCCCTACCGCCTCTTCTTCTCACTCCACTCACCACTCACCTCCTCCTGCTCTGCCTGCCCCTCCACTGCATGCAACCCGCTGACGCCTCCACGGCCACCCCTCACCTTTCTCCCTGCTCACAAGCGGATAAGCCCACTGCTCATTGCCTCGCACTCATGCCGTGGATCACGGCCGCTCCTCCATTGCACTGCCTGCTTCTCCCTGCGCTCTCATTCCACCACACGCATCTCCACTCCACTCTCAGTGCCCGCCTCGACTCTGCGCCTCATTGCGCCAATCCCACTCCCACTCCCCTCCCCTTTCCGTCCCCCATCCCCCACCCTCCAGTCGCCCAGCCCCCCCTTCAACCCGGCGGAGTCATCAACTCTCGCCACCATCCCCTGCGACTCGCCCACCTGCACTGCATGGGCGGCCGACACCTCCGTCTCCGTGGGCTGCACTGTTGCCGCGGACCTGCCCGCCCCAGATGACACCTGCCAGTACTCGCTGGTGTACAGCGCGCCGCTGCAGGGCAGCTCGTCGGGCAACCTGGTGGAGGACGAGGTGCACCTCACCCTGGAGGACGGCAGCTTCCTCGCGCCCAACCTCACCTTCGGGTAATGGTCGCCTTGCTTGCCGTGACCCTTGGAGCTCTCCCCGCGGAGGGGCAACCGCTGCAGGGCAGCGCGTCGGCAACCTAGTGGAGGACGAGGTGCATCTGAGCCTGGAAGATGGCTGCAACCGGACATTTGGGAGAGTAACGGGGCCCTCCTCACTTGGGTATTCGTCCCCCTCCTCACGTGTGCACCAGGCGGCTGCCAGACTGCGGGCAGTGGGAGCTCCCCGGTGTTGGACTGAGGGCTCCTTGGTGGTTACCACCCCCACCTCCCTTGCCACTGCTCTCTTATCCTCTCGCTTTCACTCACTCCCCCAGCAGCTGCTGTCGCCCTCTGCTCCCCCAGCAACAGGCTGGCCTGCTCCCAGCCTCACAGCGCTGGACCTTTTGACTCTTCTCATCCGTCCCTCCCCTTGCCTCTCCCCCTTCCCTGTGCCTGCCCCACGCACTTTGCGCCCTCCCCTCTCCCCCCGCAGCTGCGGGCGCTACCAAACTGGCCTCCTCTCATCTTCCAGCGGTCTGCCTTTTTGGCTCTGCTCATCTGTCCCTCCCTTCCTCTCTCCCTCTTCCCTCTGCCTGGCCGTGCCCATGCCGCCCCCTGCAGCTGTGGCCGCTACCAGACGGGCGTCCTCTCATCGGCCAGCAGTGCGCCTCTAGACTTCACTCAACTGTCCCTCCCCACCCTCTCCTCTCTCCCTCCGATCTCCCCCTCCCCTCTCCCCCCCTGCAGCTGCGGGCGCTACCAGACGGGCGTGCTGTCATCGGGCAGCGGTGCACCGGACGGCGTGCTGGGGCTGGGGTCGGGGCCACTCTCCCCGCTGTCGCAGCTGGCGGAGCGGGGCGTGGTGCGCAGTGCGGGTTTCGCGCTGTGCCTGGAGGGGGACGACTCCGCTGCTGCTGCGGGCGGCAACCACCTGCTGCTGGGCACCACGGACGCCGGGCCTGCCAGTGGGTCGACGCGCCTGTACAAGAGCGAGCTCAGGTGAGGGCTGGGGTGCGCTGCTGCTAGCAAGAGAAGCGAGTGGGTGGGAGAGTTGGCGCTGTGCCTGGAGGCGATGCCTGCGTGCACTGCGGCTGGGTGGTCAAGTGTGATTGCCATCCATGCTTCCCCCTCGGCCGACAGCAAGCTCTGGCGGGGCTCTCAGCTGCATTGCTGCCGGCGCCTCGCTGCTGCTTCCTCCATCTCTGCCCCTTCTTCCCATGCTCTTGCCTCCCCTCTGCCCTCCTGCTCTCCTCCCCCCCCCTCCTCCCCCATCCACAGCCCTTGCTCCGTGTCACCAGAACGGGGCTCCTCACCCCCCGTCTTCCCCCTTTCGCCCCCCCCCACACCCCACCGCACCTCCCATGTCGTGTGCCCGCCAGCCCCTACCTGTACGTCAACGTCACGGACATGCGGCTGGGCACGGCGGACCTGACAGTCACGCCCGCCATGTTCCCGCCGCTCGCCTCGTCGGGGGCGGGCGGCACGGTGCTGGACTCGTCCGCATCGGTCTCGGTGCTGCCGCAGCCCGCCTACATGGCCTTCGCATCTGCGGTGAGTGCCGTGCTGCTTCGCTTGGGGCTGTGGGGCTTCTCACAACCCAACCCGCTCTCTCCTGCTGCTGCACCCCACCTGCATGGTTCTTGCTTCTGCGGTGAGTGACTTAACGCCCGCTTGGTTCCCCCCACCCTCTCACCGGGTCTCGCTTCCCCCCAACTGTCTCACACCTGCCTCCCACATGCCCCCCCGTAGTTTCTCGTGCAGTACCTGCGCATGGCGCATGTGTCTCGGGCGCTCATCCTCTCTCACTGTCTCGCTGTGTGCCGTGGCCTCCCGCCTGTGCTCCCCCCTGCAGTTCCTGGTGCAGTTCCCACGAATGGTGTACGTGTCGTCCGACAGCGCCCGCGAGGGGCTGGACTGCCTCAACGCCAACAAGTACCACAAGTGAGTGGCGCGCTCAGGAAGTCAATCCTGACTCTGCCCAGTGGACAAGGAGAGTGCTCATTCTTCCATGTCGCCCCATGCTCCTCGCCCCATGCTCCTCGCCCCATGCTTCTCGCCCCATGCTCCTCGCCCCATGCTCCTCGCCCCATGCTCCTCGCCCCATGCTCCTCGCTCCATGCTCCTCGCCCCATGCTCCTCGCCCCATGCTCCTCGCCCCATGCTCCTCGCCCCATGCTCCTCGCCCCATGCTCCTCGCCCCATGCTCCTCGCCCCATGTGCGGCAACTCTCTCATCCCTTCCTTGCCTCGCCCTCCCTCTTGCACCTCGCACCCCAATCACCTCATCCTGCTTCTTCACACACTCTATCCCTGCACCCCTCATCCATCCTCCTCCTCCCACTCTCCTCCCCCTCCCCTCCCCTCCCCTCCCCTCCCCTCCCATCCCTCCCCTTTCCCCCCCGCTGCAGGTCGTCCATGTCCCCCTCCGAGTTCCTGCAGCAGTTCCCGCCGCTCACGCTCGTGCTGGAGGGCAGCAAGGGCTCGACGGACTTCACCATCAGCCCCACCAACTACCTCAAGCTGGTAACCACTGCCTGCTCTCCTGCTCTCGCACGCATGCCATGCGGGTAAATACAAATGGTATACATGACACCAGGGCAGAAGCTTCATCATGCACGCGTGGTGCAGATTCCGCCATGTTTCCATGTGTGCTGTCGCCTTGTTTCCATGTGTGCTGTCGCCATGTTTCCATGTGTGCTGTCGCCATGTTTCCATGTGTGCTGTCGCCATGTTTCCATGTGTGCTGTCGCCATGTTTCCATGTGTGCTGTCGCCATGTTTCCATGTGTGCTGTCGCCATGTTTCCATGTGTGCTGTCGCCGCGTTGGATCTTTGAACTCCCCATGTGCAAGCCATGTGAGGTATGCGCAGGCTGCCAGCCTCAGATCATCATCATCATCATATCTGTTGCATCATCATACCATGCACTTGAGCTCTCACATCTCTCTACACCACACTGCACTTCATCTTTCCTCGTGCATGGCTCCCCACCCTCACGCCATCCCCCCTCCTCCTCCCTCTCTCCCTCCCCCCGCTCTCCTCTCCCCCATGTTCCCACGGTGTGCCCATGGCCTCAGGCCAGGGGCAGTGCACACATCATCTGCTTCACAGTCAAGATGGCGGCCAGCCAGTCGGAGCGGGCAGTCATCGCAGAAGCATGGATGCGCGACAAGTACCTCGTGGCCGACACGCACACCGACACGCTGTCGTGGATTGATGCCAACTGTAAGTGCTGGCGCGCCTCACACCCGTTCTTCCATGCTGTCAGATGAGAGAATGTGCGGCAAGTACCTTGTGCCTGACAGCCGCAAAGACACGCTGTCTTGGCTTGACGCCAATGGTAAGCACCGCACGTTGTCCGGTGCTTTGTTGTCCGGTGCTTCGTTGCCCCATTCCTTGGTTGTCTTATGCCATGCCTCACCAACTCTCAATGGCAATACTCTCTCTGTGCTGAACCTCCCTCCCCTCACCCCTGCATTCCTGCCTTGTCGTCTTGGCCCCACCACAGGCACCACCGGTCTGGCCGTCATCACCAACACCACCACCAACAGCTCCACCACCACCGACACCAACAGCTCCACCTCCCCCTCTCCCACCTCCCCTGCTCCCGCCTCCCAACCCCTCCCCTCCCCTCCGCCGCCTTCCACCAACCCTCCACAGGAGTCAGCTGCGCCCAGCAGCTCGCCCCCCTCTATCACAGAGAGTCCCGGGCCCACTGCTGCTCCCCCCTCCATCGCCCCCCCATCCCTCCCTCCCCCCTCTCCCCCGAGCCTCCCATCCCCACCACCACCCAACAACCCTCCCCCTAACAACCCTCCTCCCAACCCCCCTCCTCCCAACAACCCTCCTCCTAACAACCCTCCTCCTAACCCCCCTCCCAACAACCCACCGCCCGACAACCCCCCGCCCAACCCCCCTCCTCCGCCTATCTCCCCCCCGGTAAAGCCCCCCACGGCGGCATGCCAGCCGTCCCCCACGGACTGCGCGTTCTTCTTCGCCGGCCACGAGGGGCAGGTGCCCACCTTCTCCATCCAGCCGCGGCAGGGCGACGCTGTGCTCTCAACGAGCGAGCTTAAAACGAGTATAATGGGCAGCTCGATCCAGGTGCTGGCGGGCAACTCGGGCAACGCGGAGATCGTGTGTGCTGAGGACACGGGGGGCGGGGCGGGCGTGGGAGGAGGGGGACTGACGGCGACAGCAGCCATGGCAATGAATGAGGCGCCCATCGGGCAGGACATTGGCAACCAGCTGTACATTACTGGCACGGTACGTGTGCATGGGGGGGCTCTGTGCATGGCTCATGCGCATGGCTCATGGCGCATGGCGCATGGGGCATGGCCCATGGGGCATGGCTCATGGCTCATGGCACCTGGCGCATGGCTCATGGCACATGGCGCATGGGTCATGGCTCATGGCGCATGGCTCATGGCTCATGGCGCATGGCGCATGGCTCATGGCGCATGGCTCATGGCGCATGGCTCATGGCTCATGGCGCATGGCTCATGGCGCATGGCGCATGGCTCATGGCTCATGGCGCATGGCGCATGGCTCATGGCGCATGGCTCATGGCTCATGGCGCATGGCTCATGGCGCTTGGCGCATGGCGCATGGCTCATGGCGCCCGGGGCACAGGGCACGGGGCGTGGTGCAGGGCATCGCTGGCCAACTTGACGTCACTGGCACGATATACATTGGGGATGGGGTGCATGGTGCATGGTGCATGGTGCATGGTGCATGGTGCATGGTATGGACTCGGATTGGTGGATTGAAATGGTGTGGTGACTGATGGGCATCCACTTGGCTCCCTGCCCTCCCCCCAATCGTGCCTCCCTCACCCCCACCACAGGATGGGCAGCGGCGCCCGCTCAGCGGCATCGAGGTTCTCTTGCTCTCAAGACCGCGTACATGAAGCTGTGCGTGACATCAACCAAGATGGGCGTGTTCGGCATGACAGTCAACATGAGCCCCGGTGACCAGCACATGCTCATTGCTCTTCGCTCCTCTTCCTCCCATCATGCGCCCACCTACCCTCGCCACAGGACGTGCAGCAGCGCACGTTCAACCGCGTGGAGAACCTGTTTGCGCTGAAGAACGCGTACGTGAAGCTGAGGGTGACAGCCGCGGAGATGGACGTGTTCGGCATGACGGTCAACATGAACCCCGGCGACGGCAACTCCTACTTCCCCGAGGACAAGCGCTGCGTGCTCTTCAAAACCAAACTGCCGGATGGGTGATGGGGTGATGGCATGGCAGCTTGGCAAGGGCAGACGCATGGTGTCTAGACTGGCATGGAAAGGCTTAGTGGGTGAGTGGATGTGTGTCGGCACATGTGGGGTGATTGGACGTGTGTCGGCACATGTGGGGTGAATGGACATGTGTCGGCACATGTGGGGTGAATGGACGTGTGTCGGCACATGTGGGGTGAGTGGACATGTGTCGGCACATGTGGGGTGAGTGGATGTGTGTAGGCACACGTGGGATGGGGGCTATGGCGCACACAGAATACTGAGGGTATCGCAGGATGGGAAAGAGTCACGGAGCAGGGGATGAGAAGAGCAAGCAGCCGTCAGAGCTCCCACCTCAAGCAACTGCAGCAAGGCCCTTCCAATCACCAGGACACGCACAACAAACACACATTCACCTGCCTGCATGGCTGCCACGCGGAGGCTCCACGGCTACTGAGACACCGGCGGGCTGTTCGCAGCACAAGCTGAACTTTCTCAGTCACAGGCGCCATATTAATGACACGAGGATGCAGTTTATTGGTGGGAAATGACACGATCATGCTATGTTGTAATGTGGGGAAGCTTGTAACATAAGGCAACAAAACCATGAAGTCAGCACTGAAGTACAGTATTCACTCCTCTGAATGACCCATGTATCACATTTCTGTTGTTACGGAATGAGGACCAGATCAGAGACACTGACAAAGAAGATTATAATCACATCGGCAGAATGTAGGTCGCCTGCGTCCATTTGGAAGACACTGGCTAAGAAGGTGAGCTTCCAAAGAACCATTTCTTATGTGTTGAGTGAAAGTTGAGCCAACACTTCAGAAGCAAAACGCCGATGCCGGGGATCGAACCCGGATCTTCCGCGTGACAGGCGGAGATACTGACCATTATACTACATCGACATGTCCTGGCAGAAGGACAATATAAAAGTTTCACTGCCGCTGTCGCTGAATTCAGGCGCAGTCTATCTCGGGTTCCGCAGTCGCAGGGAGGTCAGTGGAGGCGGCAGGACAAGCGGGGAGCCTAGACGTAAAAGCGAGGAGAGAAGAAGAGCGAGGGGAGTAAAAGGTCAAGGAGCGAGACGTCAGGGCAGACCAGGGAAACCGTTGAGGGAAGCGGCGGGAAGGCGCGTCGAAAGGAAACAATAGAAGGGGCATAATTTTAAGAGGCCGCGCGGAAGGAGAAGGCGGGAGCAGGAGGAGGCAGGAGTCGTAGGAGCGAGCGGGGTCGCGAGAGCGGAGAAGGCGCGCGGCGATGGGCGACATGGGCGCGGCGCTGCGCGCGGTGGTGGGCGTGGCGGAGCCCAAGGCGAAGGTGGAGGCGTACCGCGCGCTGCTGGCTGACGTCATCGCGCGCAACGACGTGGAGCACGCGAAGCAGTTCGTCGACCACAGTGCGGCCAAAAGGGGGGAAGGAGAGGGGAGGGGGTTGGGGGGGGGGGTTGTGTGGATTATGGCGGGTGAGGTATGGAGGGTGAGGTATGGAGGGTGGGGTATGGAGGGTGAGGTATGGCGGGTGAGGTATGGAGGGTGAGGTATGGAGGGTGAGGTATGGAGGGTGAGGTATGGAGGGTCAGGTATGGAGGGTGAGGTATGGAGGGTGGGGTACGGGGGGGTAACTAGGGAGAGGGGGTACGTTACACGGACTAGAGTGAGCCGTGATGCGTGGAAGGCGTTTGATCGAGGGCACATGCGTGGGGTGTGGTTGACGTGGAGGCGGCACTGCATGCATCGCAGGCAAGCGCGGGTCAATCCGCCCCCGCTTTGCCCATTCCCCTCCCTCTCTCGTGCGCGTATCCCGCTCCATAAGCCTCCCCCGTCCGCCCTCCCCCTTTCCCCCCGCCCCGCTGTGGTAATGTTATCTGAGGACGTTCCCTTGGGGGTGGCGCGGCAGGTGCTGCAGCAGATGCCGGTTCAGCTGCGGGGGCTGCACGCAAGCTCCCCCTCTCTCTCTTGCATGCATCCCCGCTTACCATCCCCGCTCCCCCTTTCCCCCTGCCCCCGCCTCTCCCAGTGCTGTGTGAGGACGTGCCCTTGGTGGTGGCGCGGCAGGTGCTGCAGCAGATGGCGGGGGAGCTGCGCGGGCTGCAGCCGGAGCAGCACAAGGCCGTCGCGCACTACGCGCTCACGCACATCCAGCCCCGCGTGGTGTCGTTCGAGGAACAGGTGAGGGGTGGGTGTGTGTGTGTGTGGGGGATGGGTGGGTGTGTGTGTGTGTGTGCGCACGTGCGCGCGCACACATCTCACTGTGGGGGCTGCACGTGGAGCAGCAGATAGCCGTGGTGCACCACGCGCTCAAGCACACCCAGACCCTTCTCACATTCATGCTCGCAGGATCGCCCACGCCCACCCTTCCCGCCTCCCATCCCCCCCATGACTGCAGGTGGCGGTGATCCGCGAGGGCCTGGCGCTGCTGTACGAGGGCGAGGAGGAGTGGGCCAAGGCCGCGCAGATGCTGGCAGGGATCGACCTGGACGGAGGCAGCAGGTGAGGCGCTGCCTTGCCAGCGCAAGCCCTGCATGAAGGCATGCAGCTGTGCCCGGAACCAGAAGCTCTGGAGTTCCCGTGCTCTTTCCCGTGCTCTTTCCCGTGCTCTTTCCCGTGCTCTTTCCTGTGCTCTTTCCCGTGCTCTTTCCCGTGCTCTTTCTCGTGCTCTTTCCTGTGCTCTTTCCCGGCTCTTTCCCGTGCTCTTTCCCGTGCTCTTTCCCGTGCTCTTTCCCGTGCTCTTTCCTGTGCTCTTTCCCGTGCTCTTTCCCGTGCTCTTTCCCGTGCTCTTTCTTTGGCCGTCTTCCCCCCCCGCGCATCTCCACCCAATTCTGAAACGCACTTCCATTCCCTCTTGCGTCGCCCCTCACCTCCCCTCGTGTTGGTCCAGCAGGGGCCAGGACGTGGCGTACCGCCTGAGCAAGTGCATCAAGATCGCTCTGCTCTACCTCGAGGTGCGCTGCCTGTGCCATGTGCTGACGTGTTGCGCACTGCCATGTGCTGACGTGGTGACCACTGCCATGTGCTGACGCGTTGCACCTTGCCATGTGCCGATGTGTCGCCCACTGCTCTGTGCTGACGTGTTGCACATACGCTGGTGACGTGTCACTAGTCTGCTGTGTACATGCATTCCCATTTGTCTTCGTTAATGTTACTAAAGCCTTTGCCTGCCTGCCTGCCTGAACGCCCGCCCGCCCGCCCACTCGCCCGCCCGCCTGCCTGTCCGTGCCCCTCTGTGAATTCCCCTACACTCTCTCAGGACGACGATGCAGTGGACTCAGAGACGTACATCACGAAGGCATTGTTTGTCTATGTGCCCCATGTCTGTGTCTGCGTTGCTGTTTCACTAAAGCCTCTCCCTACCTGCCTGCCTGCCTGCCTGCCTGCCTGTGTGTGTGCCTCTGTGTGCGCCCTCCCACCCCCCAAAGGACGACGATGCAGTGAACGCGGAGACGTACATCAAGAAGGCGTCGTTTGACATCGGCCAGCACAGCGACCAGGCGCTCGCCCTGCAGTACAAGGTGCGGTTTAGAGCGGTGCTCGCTCTCTGCAGTACAAGGTGCGGTTTAGAGCGGTGCTCGCTCTCTGCAGTACAAGGTGCCGTTCAGAGCGGTGCTCGCCGTGCAGTACAAGATGCGGTTTAGAGCGGTGCTCGCTCTCTGCAGTACATCGTGCGGTTTAGAGCGGTGCTCGCTCTCTGCAGTACAAGGTGCGGTTTAGAGTGGTGCTCGCTCTCTGCAGTACAAGGTGTGGTTAGCAGGAGGGGCAAGCGTTGGCTAGACTGAATGCTTGAGCATAAGGAGTGGGACCTAGCTGGCAGTTTCTTCTTTGTACGTTATGCTGAATGCTCCTATTTTGCATCTCTCTCTCTCACTCGCTCTCCGTATCAATCTCCCACTGCGGGTATGGGTGGGTGCATGTGTGGGCGGGTGGGCATGCGCATGCGCGGTCGTGCTGTGCGCGAGCGGGAGCACCGTTGTCGCACTCCCTGCCGCCTCCAGGTGTGCTACGCGCGCATCCTCGACTCCAAGAGGAAGTTCCTGGAAGCTGCGCTCAAGTACTACGATCTCTCGCAGCTGGACCAGCGGGAGCTGGGTGGCAAGTGAGTGGCTGGCGGTCGGCAAGTGAGTGGCTGGCGGGCGGCAGGTGAGTGGCTGGCGGGGAACATAGGGGTGTGGTGGTGGGAGTCTTGGATGCGAAGCACGCTGGAGCATGTTTCCTCGTGTTTTTTGTAGGAGAAAGCGTTAGATTGGGTGAGTGAGTGGAGGAGAGGGATGAGCGCGCTCTCGTGTTTCTCCTGTCTGCGTTGTCTCTCACAACCTCGTTTTCCTTGCCTTCCTTTCTTTGCGTCGCAAGGCATGTGCCCATGTGTCGCTGCATGGCACGTGCCCGTGTGTCGCTGCATGCGTGTGGTCATCTCTGCTTCCCATGACACGTGCTCACCCTGCTGCTGCTTCCATTGCATGCATGTGTTCATTCCTGCATGTGTTCATTCCTGCATGTGTTCATTCCTGCATGTGTTCATTCCTGCATGTGGCCATGTGTGAATTCGTGCGTGTGGCCATGTGTAGATTTGTGCATGTGGCCATGTGTCGCTGTAGGCATGTGGTCAACTACCCTTGCACCGCTGGCAGGTGGACAAGGGCGAGTTGACGATGGTGCACAACTCCACTGTAGTGCGTTTCCACGTTTTGATGTCTTTCTCATGATCCTCTCGCATCATGCATGTGTGTGCTGCGTGTGTGTGCGCCATGACGGCAGGCAGGTGGATGAGGGCGAGTTGGAGGCGGTGCTCAACGCCGCCGTCACCTGCACCATCCTCGCTGCTGCGGGCCCACAGCGCTCTCGTATGCTCGCCACTCTCTATAAGGTGCCACTCGAATCAAGGGGCCACTCGAATCAAAGACCGAGTTCAGAATGGTTTGCTATCAAGTTCAGGAATACCGAACTGGTTTCGTCAAATGAAGGGTAACGCGGTGCAAACTGGAAAAACGTCGTAACTCGCGGGAAGCGGGGAGCAGCTTGCGACTGCCGCTGAATAAGACAAGCACAAAGTCACTGTTCATCTCAGTATTCTTGAGTTTTTGCCTGCGACCATTCTGAACTCATTTTTGTGGGGGTCTCGTGTCACGGTTTGTCCCCCCCCCAATCCCCCGCCCCCCCGCACTGTTCACGCACTGTTGACCTCGGTTCTTGCCGAAGAATTCCCGTGATGCGATCATGTTTCCGCGATTTTGCCAGAATCTTTGTTCGTCAGCAGAACTTTGCCGAAATTTATTTCGCCCAGTTTTTTTGGCACTGTTTTCACGGTCAGTAATCATGGTTTTCTACCATTCTAGACTCGGGCTTTAAGGGGCCACTCACTATAAGGTGCCCCTCCCTACAACGCGTTTTTTCTTTAGAGGGCGCAATTTCGAGGCTCTGGCCCATTTTGGGCTTTGGGGGAATGTATGGCGGCACGGGATGGCTAAGATTCTCTAGTTTGCCGCACTCCGTGAAAAGGCTTCGCTCTGCGTGCGTCAGTACTGTGTTTGTCCAACACTCTTAACCCTTGTTACCTAAGTGCGTTCATTGACCTAATAATATTCGCGTGCATGTGTCTGGGGGGGGGGGGGGGGGGGGGGGGGGGGGGCATGTGGTGGCATGCACCAGGACGAGCGGTGCAGCCAGCTCAAGATCTACCCCATTCTGCAGAAGGTGCGTGCCGCCCCATCTTGCCCGCCACGTCACCGCCTGTGATCTCTTAGGTTTTGCATTTCACTGCTGACTGCGATCTGGTGCAGAGCTATGGGAGTAGTTGCAGTGAGATTCGAGCAGGTACCTGTGAGTTACAGCTGGTGCCTTGCCTCTTACCTCCCCAACGGCTCCCCCTCCCATTCCCCACAGCCGCTCGGTCATATCTAGAGCGCACCAGTGATCACCAGAGGTGGACCCATTTTCTCGGGCACCCTCCAGCCCCGTATGCTTCTCCACTCCACCCACCTCTCTCACTCTCCCCCCCCACTGCCCTCCCTCCCCCCCCCTCCCCCCCTCCCTCGCAGGTGTATCTGGAGGGCATCCCGCGATCACAAGAGATGCAGCCATTCCCCCCTCCCGCCCCCGTCTTGCCCCTCCACTCCACCCACTCCCTCAGTCCCTCACTGCCCCCTCCCTCGCAGGTGTATCTGTCTGAAGCGCATTTTGCGGTCACCGGAGGTGGAGTCTCCTCCAACACCCCTCCCGCCCGTCTAGGCCCTTCACTCCACCCACCACTCTCACTCTTCCTTCCCCGCCCCCCTCCACGGCCCTCTCTCCCCCGCAGGTGTATCTGGAGCGCATCCTGCGGTCACCGGAGGTGCAGGCATTCGCCGAGGAGCTTAAGCCGCACCAGGTGAGGCGAAGCCGCACCAGGTTAGGCCAAGCCGCATCAGGTAAGGCAAGCCGCACCAGGTAGAGATGGTTATATCGCATCGCATCGCGCGATATAATATCGCATATATCTGTGCGATATCTATGCGATATCCGTGCGATATTTTAATATCGCATGCTCGGCCAGAAACAGCATTTAAACCATGCTTTTAAATGCGATGCGATATTAAATCGCATAACGCGATATATCGCTTTATAATTGCCCTATAAAAATATATCGTACCGGAAATGCGATATGCAATACCTGTTTTTGATAAATTATATCGCAGCGATGCGATATAATATCGTGCGATATAAAACGCGATAGCAGCAAGTGCGATGTGATATTATTTCGCATCGCGTTTTAACCATGTCTAGCACCAGGTGAGGCCATGCCGCATCAGGTGAGGCAAGCCGCACCAGGTGAGGCCAAGCTGCATCAGGTGAGGCGAAGCCGCATCAGGTGAGGCCAAGCCGCATCAGGTGGGTAGGAGCGCATGATGTTTCAATGATGCCACATGCTGAACATATTTGGATTTCCTCTACGTCACGCCTCCTGCTGCGACGCATGCACTCCCTTGGATTTCTCCTTCTGCCCTGTGCTCTCCCTTCCCATCCTTGCCTCGACACCGTTAACGCTCCATACCTCCATAGTTGTTGTCTATCTGCGGCCTGTTCTCCCTTCACGTCGTGAGCACCAACCTGCGCCCTCTCGGTTCAACAAGGTCTTACCGCGGCCGCGTTTTGGCTCTGCCGTTCCACTGGCCCCTAGACATGGGCACAAGCCGAGCCACACCTGGCTCGGCTCGGCTCGGCTCGCCTTAAAAACGAGCCGAGCCTCTAGTTTTTGTACCCGTCGACCCCGGCTCGACTCGAGCCGAGCCGGCTCGACTCGAGCCGATCCAGCTCAGCTCGACCCGAGCCGGTGGCTCGGCTCGGCTCGCGCACGCGAAATCAGGCGAGCCGGAGTCGAGCCGGCTCGAGCTGGCTCGTTTTCGAGCCAGCCGGCTCGCGGCTAGGGAAAGGGGGGTTTCGCGACTGTCAAATTTCAGATCGACAAACCCCGCGCCCATTTTGTCTGCCAACCCTAACCTCACCCTGCCGCCCTAGTCTATCGACCTCAGCCAGCCCTATTTAAATCTGCAGCTCCTCCTGATAGTTGTGTAAGATGTAGAACCAGACGATCAGCTAAACAATCTGGATAATCCCCCAGACTAGAGACCCCTTACCCTGTGGCCCCAATTAACAGCCCACACAAAGCCCCCCTGACAAGCCGAGCCGAGCCGGGGATCCTGAGGACCCGGCTCGACCCCAAACGAGCCGAGCCGAGCCAGGCTCGGCTCATGCCCATGTCTACTGGCCCCTCGTCACCTCGTTGCTCTCGATCCCCTCTTGACAGATATGTGGCTGTGCGTCCCCCCCCTGGCTGTGCGTCCCCCCCTGGCTGTGCGTCCCCCCCCTGGCTGTGCGTCCCCCCCCTGGCTGTGCGTCCCCCCCTGGCTGTGCGTCCCCCCCCTGGCTGTGCGTCCCCCCCCTGGCTGTGCGTCCCCCCCTGGCTGTGCGTCTCCCCCCTGGCTGTGCGTCTCCCCCCTGGCTGTGCGTCTCCCCCCTGGCTGTGCGTCTCCCCCCTGGCTGTGCGTCTCCCCCCTGGCTGTGCGTCTCCCCCCTGGCTGTGCGTCTCCCCCCTGGCTGTGCGTCTCCCCCCTGGCTGTGCGTCTCCCCCCTGGCTGTGCGTCTCCCCCCTGGCTGTGCGTCTCCCCCCTGGCTGTGCGTCTCCCCCCTGGCTGTGCGTCTCCCCCCTGGCTGTGCGTCTCCCCCCTGGCTGTGCGTCTCCCCCCTGGCTGTGCGTCTCCCCCCTGGCTGTGCGTCTCCCCCCTGGCTGTGCGTCTCCCCCCTGGCTGTGCGTCTCCCCCCTGGCTGTGCGTCTCCCCCCTGGCTGTGCGTCTCCCCCCTGGCTGTGCGTCTCCCCCCTGGCTGTGCGTTTCCCCCCTGGCTGTGCATCTCCCGCCTGGCTGTGCAGAAAGCGCTGCTGGCTGACGGTTCGACGGTGCTGGACCGGGCAGTGATCGAGCACAACCTGCTCAGTGCCAGCAAGCTGTACACCAACATCAGGTGCGCTGCTGGCGCTGCTTTCAACCTTATGAAGAGGCCCCCGCTTTTTCCCTCTCCTGTTTGCACGGAGGAGCTGAAGTTGCACAAGGGACGCATGTTTCTGTATGATTCTGTATGTTTCTGTATAATTCTGTATGTTTCTGTCCCATGTGCAAGCGTCCCTTGGCCCACCCCTCCCCTTTCCGCCCTGCCATGCCTGCCCGTCCTTTCAGCTTTGAGGAGCTGGGCGCTCTGCTGGGCATTGCTGCACACACGGTGGGTTGGGGCAGGGAGGGCTGTCGAGGGGTGGGGGAACGAGCAAGGTGTGTGACAGATTATTCTGCAGACATTGCAGCTTTTCTCATGGCCATGTCCCGTTGGCCTTGCCGTTTGCTTTTACTGTTTCCCAAGGTTTCTGGTATGCACGCACTGCACATTTCCAGCCTCTCACCTCACCCCCTCCACAACCCCCCCTCGGCACCTTGTCGGCTTCAACTTGTGTCCAAAATTCCGATCGTTTCCTCTCCATGTGTGTGTGCGGGCAGGTGGAGAAGGTGGCGGTGCGGAGAAGGTGGCGGCGGAGAAGGTGGCGGCGTTTCCTTCTATCCCCTCCATGATCGTTTCATTCCTCGTTGCTCCTCTGTGTGTGTGCGGGCAGGCGGAGAAGGTGGCGGCGCGGATGATATCGGAAGACAGGATGAAGGGCACCATAGACCAGGTGGGTGCGCTAGTGGTGATATGCAGTTGCGTCTCTAGCAGTTGGAAAGATTTACCTTCCTAAATTCTGAGGTTTTTTTATTAGCTAATTATGTTTCATGGGATGTAGTGCAGCCCAATCAGGTCACAGTTTGTGGATGCTGCAGTGGTGTTACTAGACGTTGTCAGCACTAACCAATGATCTCTCCGTTGACGCTGTCACTGGACGCTGTCTCTCCACCTCTTACTCCTATCCCTCCCTGCCACCTTTCCCTGCCACCTCTCCCTGCCACCTTTCCCTGCCACCTCCCACCCGCTTCATCCCTTCATCCCTTGCTCCCCACCAGGTGGAGGCAGTGATCCACTTCGACAACGACATCGACGACCTGCAGCAGTGGGATCACCAGGCACGTGCCCCTGTCACTGCATGCCCCTGTCACTGCATGCCCCTGTCACTGCATGCCCCTGTCACTGCGTGCATGACCATCATAGCACCGTCATAGCACCACCACCAAGTACATGCACCCTCATGCAGTAGCACTCATCGCACCATGCCTGCCCTGCGTGCTCTGTCTCATGCCTGCCCTGTGCGCTCTGTCTCATGCCTGCCCTGTGCACTCTGTCTCATGCCTGCCCTGTGCGCTCTGTCTCATGCCTGCCCTGTGCCCTCTCTCATGCCTGCCCGGTGTGTCTGTCTTATCGCTGCAGATCGCCAGTCTGTGCCATGCACTCAACGACATTCTCGATGGCGTTGTGAAGAAAGGAGCCATGCCTGTGCCAGTCTAAGGGGCATGCTGCCATCACTCAGAAGCAGCCCCAATCTTGAGTGCGCCAACATAGACTTGGCAACGTTGGTACTACTGCGTGCATTACCCAATGCTCAATCAACCTGTGACCACTTCGTGTCTGGCCGATTTTTGGTGGTCATGTTGAAAATTTGAGGGCATAATTCTGGGGTGTAGCATTAGATTTAGAAACGCCAATACTGAAAAGGAATGCTCAACATTCTCAACTATTTTCTGACTTCAAAATGGGGAATGCTTGGTCAGCAGAAGTGAAAACTTTTCCTAAACAAAACAATTGAAAGGCTAGCTAACTGCTCTTTACTGTAGCTCCTTGCCCTTTGTCTGCTTCGAACGGAATTTGCTTCATTGCTTGCCACCCACCAAAGTCAAAAGAACACGGGGGGAAAAAAACGTTGAAACAAAGCAAGCACATTGCCTCCGCTCAGCAAGACGAAGACAATGCTTTAGATGATACAATTGGGCTTTTGCACTGGAGTTAGAGGACGTCCGATGCAGAGAGAGACTACCATTGCAGAGAAACACCAATGCTTCAACATCATCAGCGGCTGCTGATGGCTTCCGGCATCAACACGCCAGACTCGTTTGACAATCTCAATTCCACACAGGAAGGACCCGCTCCAGATGAGCAGTGCAGAACAAATTCCGTATCGCTTATTGCTAGCTCCTGCAAACCAAAAGAATTTCACTAACTGAAACACACAAAGCCAGACATCTCGCCCCAAAACCTTCAATCATGCTCACCCTTCGTTCTGGAGGCAACATGTTGTGGTGATGTGCAAGGTTCAGCAGCACCATAAGGTACCTCTGCGCTGTCATTGTTCCTGCAGCACAAATCACTGTTAGGAAGGGGAACTTGTACCGTAAAAAAACGTTTCTCCTCAGTTTTACCCTTCGCAGCGGTTTGTCCAAGCATCTCTATCACATGATCCCTTCCAAAAGCTCTTCCTCCAGATTGGACCGCCACAGCAATGTCCTTCTTAAGCTTGTCTGAAAGCGCAGAGATGCTTGATGGATCAGATAAATGCTCCTGCAGTGGGGTAAAACGCCATATTGAGTGCACCGAGTACCATCACAATCACAAGAACCGGAGACACAACAAAGTCTGCATGCAGTGCATGCTGTAGCAAAGCGCATCAGCACATGAGCATGTGTGCATAACGATAGAGAGCTTCAAGAGCAGAGGGTTGGCACAATGCACTGGAAGTAAAATAGGACGAATGCTAGGCATAAAAAAAAAAAGGGGAATCCATGAAGCAAATAAAGTCTTACCGGATACACATCTCGAGTCATCACTTGCTCAATCAAGTCTTGGAGCCTGGGGCGCTTCCCTCTACCCTGCCCAGAAGCGGGTGTCTCTGCAAGAGACGAATCCATGGAGCACTGAGGATGCATTGCCATAGATTGTGATCCAAGCCACTGTGAACTCGGATCAGGAGGTCCTGTTGATGTCGTGGAAGCAGACAGGTGTGGAGGAGAAGGTTCTGCAGGTCGTAGATCAAGTGGCACCGCATCGTCTCTCTTGGGTTTGGGAAAGTTGCTGCACTGGCCTGCTGCACTTGGGGCATGTTCAGCTACAGCCATTGAATGGAGGTCCGTGTAGCATGCATCGACGTGTAGATATGGTGCTTCTGGTTGTCCATGGTCAGCGGTTACTGGAACAGTGAATGACACTGGGTAGGTACTGTTCCTTACAGAAACAGGTGCAGATGACATCCCCTTATGCTCATGCTGGATCCTTGAATCTCCTGGAGGTGAAATACAAAGAGGATTGTCAGCAGATGGGCCAGCACTTGGTTTGCAATAAACCACCGCCGGCGTTTGTCGTTGAGGCTGATGCAACATGTTTGGGGCATCATGATTTGGAGCGTAAACTGGATCCAGCTCCTCCCATCCACACGAATCCCAGAAATCCTGGTCGTCGTGCTCTTCACCCAGGGGGGAACCAGATGGCAACTCAGGTGGAGACTCCAATGGGTTGTCATGGTCTTGATTGTAGTCATTAATCCCCCCCATCTCCGATGGTGGAACCCAGACAGTGTCACCCTCATATGGTACGAGTGGCATATGAGATATATTGGAACCTGAAAAACATGGCACCTTTAGTTACATCAACTGGGGGCTCAGGAAAACAAACGAAGGAGCATCACCAAGAACAACACACATGAAACGGCGAAGAAATCAAGGTCGAATCCCCCCTCAATCTGCAATGCATAGAGGTACGTAATCATCCCAACAGTGCTAAACAGAGGAAATTTCAAAACAAAGCGTCATACCAGGGAAGGGTCACTAATAAGCTTCTCGCGGTACGAAACAATGTCGATCCTTGCTGCACAAGAGACAAACGTTGCCCAAAAATATGCCAGGAAATGTAAAGCATGTTTGTGTAGATATTAAAGATATATTCCACTCCCATGCTGTAACTTAAGCCACTTACACTTGTACATTGAAAGTCTGAACATGTCTCGGTCCATATCGGTATCCTCCCATGGATCTGAGGGAAGTGTATAATTGCATTGTACTGGTGGCATAAGAAGCCTCTCTGCATCACGAATTTGCCTGCACATTTGGAACTCGATGGTACACCCATGTTACATACTCAGACTCACATGCATTGGAAGAAGGAATGGAGGAATGTTGAGAATGTGCAGCCCTTTTCACTTACCTGGTTTGTCGAATGGAGCTGATGGAATCGGCCTCCCGAAACCTCGAAACCACGAGCCGGTCCAGGAGTAGGATACTGGGACCCTGCTTGAAATAGGTCAAGGGCATGGACACTTTGAATTGCTCCACTCATGAAAGAAATCATACCTTGTCAGCTGCCAAAGTCTCCTCAGCTTGTATGACTCCATCTGCGGGGTCAATTTCATCCACAGCCATTTGTGCTGGCTGTTTCTTTGATTGGCTCGGTGGTGCTCCCATAAGATCATCATCTGGTTGGTCAGTTGAAGTTGGAACAACTTTCTCCAGCCTCGATTTCCTTTTACCAAACTGCGGCTTATAGGGAGTGCAGGCTTGAGCTGCCCCGTGACTGCTTGGATTAGCTTCGGTTGCTTCTGCTGATTCTGTGGCTAATTCTGTGTACGGTTCAGGAGGTGCAGGCCCTTGCTGATGCTCCTGAGGCAATAAGGGGTCTGCCGCAGCACCCGCATGATGTGCATAACCAGCATTCACATGATAAGCATGACCAGCACCCATCTGGTGTGCATGACCAGCACCCATCTGTTGAGCATGGCCAGCACCCATCTGTTGAGCATGACCAGCACCCATCTGTTGAGCATGACCAGCACCCATCTGTTGAGCATGACCAGCACCCATCTGTTGAGCATGACCAGCACTCATCTGTTGAGCATGACCTTGTACATGAACCGATTGTGAGGTCATCACGAGTGTGGCCTGTCAGTCAAGTGGAGAGACATTAGTTCAGTAAAATTTGAGGGACACCGAGCCAGAAGACACAAGACTTTACCAGAACTCTAAGTACTACCTCGTCACGCAAGCCGGTAATATGTACTGCCTCAGCAGCCTTCTTGGCTGCATATTCCTCCACGAGCTTGTCGACAAGCTCAAAGTCATCGAAGTCACTGATGTCATCGAAAGCCATATTATCTTCATTTGGAGCATCACAGTCCAAGGCTTCCCCGTGCAACTGCAGAAGCCAGAGCATAGTCAATCCAGATTTGCACCACGTACCATAGCGATGGATATACTGTGCACCCACAGACTCTCCGACGGCAATGGGCAACCAACTTACACAATCTGCCCCTATGTTTGGAAGGGGGATGCCAGATGCAGTGCTGTCAGCAAAAAGTGACAGAACTTCAACCGGCCCATCCTTGTCACCAGCTCCGTCATCCAAGAGGTCCTCTTCAATGGGAACAACAAGTTCCTTAAACGGTTTAAAGTCAAAATATGCGGGAATGCTGATGTCGGGGACGCCATCAGGCTGTCCATGCCAGTCAAGCACCCTTCACAAGGAAATAAGAAGTGGTTACACCGTGCTATATGTAGAAGCGCTCAATAGTCGCTCAGCATGAAGCTGCTTACCTTGAGATTGTGGTTTCTAAACTTCCAGAAGTGGAAGAGGAAAGGTTGAAACACAGCTCCTCACGCTTGAGAGAATAGGACTTACCAGAAAATTTACTCATCTGTCAGGGTGTTAAATCATAAGGGCCATGCGTCTGTAGATTATGTCCAAACTAAGGTGCATCGAACTTACTGCATTAGCCACAGCATTATCCAAGTTCAAGTCAAGCACGCTCTGCTTATTCTGACGCTCATCCGAAACGCCAGAGACGCAGCCAAATTTATGTCTTCTGCTTGCGCTTCCTCTGCTCTTAACTTCTTCGCTAAGAGCTTCTCCCTTCCCGAATATTCTTTTGTACCGTTCAAGGTCTGATCCTGACGACTCTTGTCCGTTGATGACACGAGCTGTAATTAGTGAGGGTTGTTCGGTATTAGTTCAAACGACCTGCAAAACACTACAAAAACTTAGTGACCTGATTTTGCAGGCTTGGCATCCGGCTCCCTTGCTGTGGTCTTCAGCTCCCGAACGGCCTCATTGGTCTTCTTCGACAATACATCTGGTTTAATTTTAAGCGCGTTACTCGGCAAAATGCCACAATGTTTCATAAAACAGCGGCGTCTAGAAATCTCGCACACCTCGCATTGTTCGAATGAGCTGCAAGCACGAATCCTCACGTTAGATGCAAGAACCAGAATCTCCGCGTATTCCGGGCAAACGGCTACCTGATTACCTCCGCTCGGACATGGACATTCGTTGACGCCTCCTCCACGTCAGCCTTCGTGACGACATCTCTTGATTTACCCTTCTTATCTGCCTGTGTATGAAAGTTACGGCACTGAACAGGGTAGTGGCCGGTGTAGGCTGCGAAGTCCACATGTGTCTTACAATGTCAAATGGTGCCAAGGCTAACGAAAGGTACTTCTGATCAAATGGATTCTTCCTGTGCCTCTTGTGTGCGACGTCATCAGCAACTGATAATATTGAATAGCGTCGCTCGCCCCCTTCAGCGATTGATGACTGGATTCTGTATCTCACCGCAGGTGGCGCCATGTAGTCTAAAGAGAAGAGGTAGGCTTTGGAGCTAACTTGGAAAGCTACCTCGCGCCTAGAAGCTCGCAGATTCTTGTGATCTGGGAGTCTCGCAGGAACCCCAAGCCACTCAAGCACTGGAATTCCTAAACCAGTTCAAACACAGCGTACTCATTACAGTGAGCGTATCGTGGTTGGTCTACAAAGTTCTTAGAGCTCAAACGAATTCAATGTGTCTTATCCTACGAAAATATGGTGTGTATACATTTTTTCCTGAAATTACATCCTGTAATAGTTCTGAAAAGCATGTGTAATTACTTTCATTATATTCCTGTATGTTCCTATCTATAATATTTCGAAGGGTGCTCCTTTTTGTTGATACAGCACTAACTATCTGTTGTGATATAATTCATACTAAGCATTTTTGTACGTTTTAGATAGTGTTGAATCCTACTATAGAAGATAAGTCCGTAGGATGACATTGGCAAATATCGTCACGAGGACAGTCGTTTCAGTCACGCGAACAGTCGCACCTCTTCATTATTGTTTAGGGCGCATAGCGCGATAGTGACGAACAGGTACATTAGCGAATAGGTACTTTTCCTAGAACTATAAATCCTTGTTATGCCTTTCCATTTTTAACTTTGATTACCCACAAGTTCACGTACTCAGGTTATTCAACCTTGACTGTTATATTTTACAAATATTTCTGCTGTCTTTACTAGTCTACCATTCCAGTAAAGATCCTGGACTAACACTTGAGGTTTTCCAAGTGTTTGTGTCTGCAGATTCTATACTTAGTCTCCTGCAACACCAGACAAATTATTTTATGGTATGAGAGCTATCTGGAATAAAGACTACCGTCAACAATGACTGGATCATCACCAGCACCATCTACCTGATCGAATTCTGGAACTACTGGAGTACCTGTCTCCACGACCGCTACTGGTCTCTCAGCCTCTGGACCGTTTCCACCGGCTTATGCGAATATCGGTATGCACCAGCAGAATCCGCCTTCTGTCAACACTCCAGGTGTCTCATCGATTGCACCTGCAGCGCAACAACAACATACACAGACGACGGCACAGCAACAGGCATCAGCACAACCGCCGTTTTCAACATAGTCTATATCGTCGGCGTTCAGTGGAATGAGCCTTGACAGCTCGAGCTATATGCGTGGAGCTTCAGCTCCAAGTACTGGTTCATTTGCTTTCTCACCTTTTGCGCAGCAGCCGCAGTCACATCAGCAGCAGCATCCATTTTACATCTTCGGGCGTCCCCCTGCTCAGCAACAGCAACAGCAACAACAGCATCAACAGCTAGAGCAATTTCAGCAACAGCAACAGCAGCAAGAGCAACAGCCTCAACAACCGGGTATTATTTTTCAACCACCAAATTTCCTTAACAGTACACAGATCAAGACAACCATACCTTTTAACGGAGTGGATTTTTACTCCTGGAGTTTCGAGTTTGAGCTTCTGGCGCAGTCCGCTGGGCTATGGCCGTTCTTCACCGGCGAGTTTACGTATCCTGTCGTGGGAACACAACTGGAGCAGCAGAGTTTCTTGCACGCCTCTCTCGGGGCTTACACAGTTCTTGTTCGGAACCTGTCGTCAAAGGAGCAGCTCGGCGTCCGATCATTTCATTCAAGCTTTACACCAGCTCAAACTGCATGGAACCACTTGAAGGGGGTATACATGGCAAAAGATACAATAACAGTGAGTAAGATTCTTTTACAGTTGACAAGTGTGCAGATGATGACAAACGAAAATGTCATGGACTACGTCAACCGCGTCCGTACACTACGAGACCAACTGGAAAAGAGTGGAGGATACTTCCCTCGTGAGATGTATCTCACGGTCCTTCTTGCTGGCCTTGGACTCGAATGGCGACAGACACGCGCATTCCTGCGCATGAACCCGAACCTCTCCGAAGCTGAAATTTCTTCATATCTTCAAGCAGAACAGCAAGATCTTGCCCTGTAGTTACAACGCAATCAGAAGAAAGGGGTTCATTTCAGTTTTTACTCCAATCCAGAGCCACAGCAACGACATCCTCCGAAATATCCCTTCTGCCATTTCTGCAAGAAACCAGGACATACTTACTAAAACTGTCGCAGCCGTCATCAAAATCGTCGCAGCACTTCACAGCCGTATCACCGTTCACAGCAGTTACCGAAGATACACCAGCCAATGCAGTAGTCAACGTCCCAAACGCAGCAGATGCCGAAACCGCCGCAGAATCCACCGCCGTCACAACATCGTCCTCCGGTCTTTGCATCTGCAACATCAGGATAAGGGGTTTTTGGATGTGTTACAACAGTTGATGTTTCAGAACCGACTTCGAGACATGCCTTGAAGAAACTACAAGTGCTGAGGGCATTCCCTTACCGCAAGTTTACGCTAACCTTGCTCGAGTAATTTCAGGTCCAAATACTTGGTATCTCGACAGCTGTTGCGGTTGGCACATGTGCTCCGCTGACAAACTATTATGGCACGTTCAGTTGGGAGCGTAATGCTCGAATCAGTCGACACGTGATATTCACTACACGTTACCAACGTTCTTATCGTCGCCGGCCTTGGATTCAATCTTCTCTCCACAGCTCAACTCCTGGCACACAAAATTCGCACACAGGGCAATTGTGAAACAATGGATCAAGAATTATGGCACAGCTTAACAAATACTTACCTCGGCCGTGCCGCTACTCAACATGGAGTTTCAGTTCTTCAGTTTATGGCATAGGGAACTTCTGGTGATTCTGAACGCGTCCTTGCACTCGGTCCCTGGGATCACCCAGAAGAAAACGATTATCAGCACGTGGATATTGAATTTCGAGCAACTACTGTACCAACGGCTTCTCGAACTGCAGCTGCCGTACTTACCGCACTGGATACCTGGGAGTTCAGTACTGCCGATGAAGGCGCCAACGCTTGGAGAACGTTTTATAACACAGGTGAGGCTCTTCAAGGAACTCCAGCTCCACTTTGGGGAGAAATTAGTGGACTTGCAGCTGATGAACCTGACGTCGTTGAAGAAGCTGAAAATCAAAAAGTCGTCGAGCAGCCGCGTCCAACAGTAGCTGTCGCAGGACCACCTGCCACCACATCAACAGAAGCAGCATCAGAAATTGCAATTGCAACTGCAACAGAAACATCGAATATCAAATTACGACTTGCACGTTTCGTTGAAGGGGAGATTGATATGTTACCGGCGCTTTCCCCTTTTATAATTTCTTTATTTTATACTAATGCCGATTTCTACCTGCGATCATCAGGACACAAAGCCACAGAAGACATCTAGCATCAGCGGTTAGGACATCTATCACAAGGGATTCTTAATCATTCAATACGAGCAGCAGTTCTTGATAAAATTAGTATTCTTTTACCTGACGGCACGGAGATGAAGTTGCAGTCCCGCCCCACGGTTTGCACCACGTGCCCGGTCGCCAATCTTACCCACGATCCGTTTCCAAGTCATTTTCCTGGCTCCACACGTTACAAACTGATGCAGAAAGTTTACAACGATATTCCTAACTTACCTGAAGCAGGACCTAAAGACGAGCAGTACGTGATAACATTCATCGAAGCATCTACTCGCTACGTCTGGACATCAAACCTTCTTGCTCGATATCTTGTTCATTCAGTCTTCGTCGCATGGCTCGCCGTCGCTGAAAGAGAGTCTGGCGTAAAACTGCAAGAATTCCAGAGAGATGGCACAGGGGGATACACGAGTAACGCCTTCACAGAACACCTACAGACTCTCGGCATCAAACGGAAGCAGTCACTGCCACATGCACACCAACAGATGGGGGTAGCGGAGAGGATGAACCGGACTCTGCAAGAGAAGATGCGTGCTCTGCTGACGCAGGCAGCCCTTCCGCCTCGTTTTTGACCGTATGCGATGGACCACGCCGTGCTGTTACACAACCTGCTATCTTCCACGTCACTGCCCGAATTTTCTTCTCCGCACTTGCAGTGGACACGTACAGTGGGAAGTACCAAACGTTTACGAGTTTTTGGCCGTGTCGTGCAGTTTCATCCTCCAACTGCAGCACTCGGCAATTTTTTAGAACGAGCAAAATGGGGGGTACACCACGGCATCGAAAAACAGTATCACTCATGGAAAATTTTGGATCTTCGTTCCAACCAAATCATCTCTTCACGTGATTGTCTTTTCTGTAAAGACTCACCTTGCCCGTTTTTCGTGCCCACCAGGCAACAGCTGCTAACCCTGCCAGGCTGTTCGAGGGCTCGCGTGCATTTGCAACTGACAAAGCCGAAGCTGATGTACAGGACGAAGCAGTTTCCGAACCCTCCGAAGCTGCTGCAACTGACATTCCCGAACCTGTAACATCGACCAGCATACCCGAATTTATTCCTCTTGCAGATGTTGACTCAGATGATGTTCGCGAAGTTCGCCTCCGTTACGAACGCGATCGCCAACAGCAGCCGATGCCCGTCGTCTCTGATGAAGCATTTCGTGTTACACCTGATGAAATTGGGGGGGAAGAAGGACCAGAAGAAAATTTCGCAGGTGCAAACGAAGAACGTCCGCGTTTTACAGAGACTGGATGACAAATACTTGGGTTTGCAGTCGCAGTACAGTACAACGACAGTAAGATACCCGAACTGAAAAATGTTCGACAAGCTCTTACGAGTCCTCACCGAGAGAAATGGCGCAAAGCCATGGACAGAGAGCTAGCAGCTCTCAAGAACCGTGGCACATGGGAGTTAATACCGACATCAGAAGTACAAGGGAGGAAAGTACTTACCGGAAAATGGGTCTTCCGAGTCAAGACTAATACAGATGGGTCGTTTGAAAAAATCAAGGCGCGATGGGTCGTCTGCGGATTCGAACAGACTTGAGGCATTGACTACGAGCTGACTTTTGCTCCCGTCGGTCGACATACAGTACAAGCGTTCGAATTCTACTTTGTGTCGCCGCCTGCCGTAATCTACGACATCGACAAAACGACGTGTCAAACGCGTTTCTCTATGCGCCCGTCGACGCACTCATCCTGGTAGAGTACCCGCACTCGTAGGGGAGAATGCGATTGGTCTATTGTTCGACCAACGAAATGGCTGCCGATTTCCTCACGAAGAA